TAGGACTCTGAAGGGACTGGAACAAAAATGGAAGATGTTGGAAATACATAACACTCCAGACAGCATCTGTGAAGAGAAATCGCGGATGGCGAAATGTGATGGGTTCACATGAAGAGTTAAATACAGCCTGAGCAGATTGTATTCGGTAAGGACGGGAAAAAAATCAGAAACTATCAGATTCTGTTCCGACTCCAGTTTCAGTGCTGTTAAATTAAGATGATGATCAGTTTGGTATGAACTCGCACAGTGAGCAAAGACGCAGCAATATTTCATCCCTTGCCAAACTGAATGACTCTTGCCGACGTGTATAAATGTATAAATCGAGCAGATTGTTTCTATGTTGCATTTGGGAAAACGGTAAGGGAGGTATGGAATCTATGATGTATGTTGGTTGATCGGAATCGCTAAGCCCACCGTAACCGCTGCGCCTTCCTCTAGCAGCTCCATGAAAATAGACCCTGCTAAGTACGCCTCCTATTGGCTTTCAGGTTCTGCTGCTAATCACGTAAGCGGATAGCGCCAAGATGACAGGGGCTGGTAAAGTGATTGAAATCAAAACAGAAACACCCAGCCGGTCAGGCAGCATCTGTGCAGAGAGGAATGGAGTTGACGTTTCAGGTCGATGACTTTATATCGTGTCATTGAAGATCATACCTAGTCGGCATTGTTATATTCCTAGCTGCTTGGCTGCTAACCTTGCGAATATGAAAGTCAGTATCTGGAACAATGAAACTTGTCGACCCCGACAGAAATAAATGAGACCGTGTTGGATGGTGGAATGTAAACGCTTCTTAATGTGTTCTCTAAATGAAATGTGGGATTTTGTTTTCGCGCGTTTGGTTTATTTGTAAACCACTCGGGGATTGACGTTTTATTAAACAGCACATCTGTTGTTTATGAAATCACTACCTACTTTACATCCCTGTTTTTGAGCCAGGCTTCCACATACACACACACACACAAATGTAAATCTCCTAGTCCTGCATCGCTGCGTCCTTTCATTTGCTATTTTTTAAAATACCTTGGATTGCTTCTCAGAGGAAGCTTGTTAACCATCACCGTAGCTTGCAATGATGGTTAGAACGGTCCCTTACTACTGGGGCGTGTGTGCTGCGCAGATGTGGAGGATTATATATTTCGGCGACGTAGTTTGAGATACAAGGGGCAGGGCAAACTTATTGGGTACATCTATAAAGTGTACACGGTTTGGCTTATTATAAGGTTCCCATTGGTTAATGTTGGTGCAAGGCACTAGCACACACGATGAGTCGTGCCTGTCAATGGAGGACTGAAGAAAGGGAAACACGTTGAGAAAAGCAAATTCGGAACTTATAACCGTACAAATTTACTGTTGTCTGCACTCACCAATTGAAAGTGCCCGAACAATAACGTGAATGACTCACTGCATAAATTAGATATCTAATGCCATAAAATTAGCACCGACAACAATTGAAGGACAAACTGAGATTAAAAACAGAAGTTTGGAAGGTGGATACATTGCGTTGAAAGGTAGACAGGAGATTGAAGAAAGCCAGAGAAACAGCAAGGTGACGCCAACAGTCCGATTAAGACTATGGTGACATCGAGAAGACTGAAAAAAACCCGCAATACTGAGTTGGGTTCCAGCGTGTACATCTGATAACTGTTCATTGAAAGAACACCAATTGTCTAACTAGGCGAATGGTGAATAGATATACGTCAATGGAAACCACATTTAGCCCAATGTCCTGTTGGACTGAGATTGCGGTCAAAATGATCGATCCTAGTGGTGGGCGCACCATATTCAGACATGCATTCCCCATTCTTGCTGGTGTCAGTTCCCATAATAAATCTGACTCCTCAGTTTATGTTATAGTTAACATTTATTCAACGCGACCTGCGGCCATTACAACATTGACAACAGAATATTTCCAGGAAGCATTTGCACATCTTGCACCAAAATATACTTTCGAAACCATTGCATATCTAAGAGATACCATGTAAAAACACAAGCACCCACACAGTATATCTGGTTGCTAACTGCTTGGACGTATTCAGTTGCCCCGTCTCCCCTTGGCCCTCCCTTCCACCCAAACCATTGCTCCAAATATTGACCTTCCTAGCCCTTCCTCCCCACTGAAACAGATTCCTTGTTGTCTGCTTCAATGTTAAAACACGTTTATTTTCAATTATCAATTTTTTAAAAAGGAAACGTAATTAATTAAAATGCAAGGAATTGGGGGAAATTGTTTCCTGTTCCCCCACAGCAATTGTTCGCTGGAGTTTTCTAGAGATTAATCTTCAATGTATGAAGACCTCAGGGCAATGCTTGGAGGATTGGCAATTCTATGTGTGCCATTCTCTGTGCCAGAACCCAGAAAGCACTGTGCAGGATATCAACACTTTGTGAACCACTTGGCTGATTTAATCATGTGTTTGTCCATATTTGTGCTGTGTAACTATTATTTAAAAAGGTTGTGAATGTAGAAGAAGGGAGAGCCAATTTGCTGTTTTCAGTGGGTTTTTTTTGGGGTTGTGCTGTACATAGGCAAGTTAATTTTATCTTTATGTTTCGGACGATGCCCATTCCAGACACAGGGGCGGCACTTGAGTTCATCACATCTTATCGGATGGCTGCTGAAACTGGTCTATATGCATCTATATGCAGCTTGCTGGTGACGATTATCGTTCAGGCGATAAACCAGACTGACCGAATGTGAGGAGACTACACACCAGCACGCAACCCCCTCCACCGCCCTCCCCCCCGGCATTACAAATTGAGAATGTACCGACGACTTAGTCCTCCTCTATCTGAGGTCTTATTCGTCAAACTGGCCGAGAAATTAGGGAAAGGAGTGATAAAGCTTCACATAAGGAATGGCAGTGCACATCTCCTCCAGCTGAGACTCCGCCTCACAGTGTTTCTGTTAGCTGTGAAGGGACAACCTGTCACCTTCGCTGAAGCATGGCCCTACCGTTGGAGGTGGAGGATGAGGCCGCTGAAGTTTATTTCAGATGGCCGGTGTGTTTAACATCTGCAAGTCTGATTGCTGTCAAAACAAAGTGGAATGACACAGCGCCATCTGTGAGCACTAGCACACTCTGCTCCCTCCATCCGACATGAATGGTATTGTCCCCGAACACTTCAATCAGTCAACACAAGAATAAAACATTAAATAACTGAACGTATTTGCAAAACAAAAATAAAAGGTGTTTCACTCAAATCAGTAGACTGGAACCCTCAAATTTAAAATCGGACATCACTGAGTTTATTTTGAAGTTATGTGGCATGTCATGACTTTCCATCAGCATGCACCTTATAAAAACCGATAGAGTGCAAGTCTGAATTCCTTCGTGAGTTCCTGATTGGGTTAAGGGAATTGAATTTGCCTGCGCTCCTGCAAACGGGCGAGAAAACTCAATAGTGACTTCTAGTAGGTAGAAATGAAAGAGAGTTTTCTTTTCAAAAATATAACGGGTGATTCCCGCCGCTACAGTCACTCGTTCTTCTATACAAGTGGATTTCTTCAGTCCTTAAGTGCAAACACACGTCCGCGTGGACAGTGGGGTTGGGGGGGAAGGAGCAGAAAGGATCAGGGCTAACACGATGAGAATAACGATTTCTCGCTGATGGCTCGTTCGCACTGATTTCCCTGCCACTCTACAAAATGTCTTTTGCAGCAAAGCGGAATCTCCGCGCAGACTCCGGGGCGCTGCCCTGCTGGAAAGTAACCCATCAAACTGGGAAATTACCGAGGTCGTGAGTGAGATTTACCACCTCTCTGTAATAAACATGTTTTCCAGAACGTGCCGGGGTGGGCGGGTTCTGCCGTTTTCGGGTCCAACAGGGGGCGGGGTCGCGTTTACTTTTGCTAAATTGTTTCGCTAATGGAGATATTTAGCCCTTGAACCGAAGACATTAGCCTAGCCTGGCCACTGCTGTTCACCCGAGTTTGCCATGACACCTAATATTTACAAGCAGCCTCTACAGATTTGTGATAGCTCTTTTTTTTCAAGAAATGCCAATATATATCTTTCTTTTAAACGTCCGGAATAGCAGTAGCCTCTTGGTGAGCCCCAGTTCACTATCCTGCAGCGCACTCACACAGTTCTCGCCCGCGGTGTAAGAAGTAAATATTTGCAAAGTGCAATAGATGGTTGTGGTGTTGCAGCTGCTCGGGGCGAGCTGTGAGTGAGATAAGCGCTATGTCTAAACTGCCACACGGTCATTATAAACGGGCTTTCTCTCCCCCCAACACCCCTTAAAAAACCTGTTGGGGGGGTACGATTGAGGTCATTGTCCAACTGAAAAAAAAGCTGCATGCTAATCGGCTGGGTGAAAGCGTCAGCTGGAGCGGGTCCATTCTCGCAGTGAACGAGCTGGTTGTAGAGGTGCTGTGGCGCCCTGGCCGGTGCAATACACCCCAGAGCTGGGGCACTGACTGCAGTCATCGCCATTCCTGAACACAATCGCTTCGCAGCAAGAGACCGCCGGCGGGTTTTGCGCCAGAAAGCGATGGTTTCGAGTCAGTTTTTTCAACCTTGGTGTATCTACCCCTTTAAGGAACAGCGTGTCCCAGGGATTGCTGCTTTCCGACTAACCAATCAGGGATGGGGCATCCAGAAAGTCTTTTCAGTCCTTTCGTACAATTCGACGCATGTTAAAATAAAGTAAGTGTCTCGAAGCACGGCAAGGAGCGTGGGTGCAGAAAGTGCCGACCATCTTGATTTTGAATTGCTGGATCATATTTGCTGACCCCGGGAGTCAGTTTGTATGAACGGACCCTGTGCAGCTTCAGTGTGAGGCGGGGCTGGAGTTGGGATTAGCACTGGCGACCCGCTTCATTCAGCGCTCTCTGAATTCACAGTGGGGCGACAGCGCGGCCTCTTTAAGCCTCTCTCCGACTCTTGCCCTGTCAGGATTTGAACAGATCCTGGAGGTCAGGGGAGGGGTGGGGGGGAGGCGGTCAGAGCGAGCGAGAGAGAGATTACAAACTGCTTCTGTGACTGTAATGAACCCCAATCCCTGAACAGCAAGCGCACACGCCAAACACAAGGATAACGGGGTTTTATTTTTAGCGAAGACGACGTTGAACTGTCATCATCGTGTTTTTTTTATAAACGGTGAGTGTTTGGTGCAGGGGAAACCAAGCAACGCGCCAGTGGGAGATAAATAAATCAGATTAAAGCCGGAAGAGTGCGGTGCTGCGGGCTCCTTCTGATTGTCAGTGTGCTGTTGGAAAGCGGGGGGCGAAATCTGTTGGGAGTCAGCCTGGAACGCATTGAGTACCCCCCCCCCCAACACCCTCCCTGGGCGGACGATTCTGGATCTCATCCCCCAGTCAACGGTCTCGCTAGAAACGCCTGCATGTTAATCGTGACTGTTCCAGTCGAACAGAAAACCGCTGGTGACCCATTAAAACAGATGCTATTCCGGGCGCTGCTGACTTCTTCCCGTTCCTTTGCTCCGAACTCTTCGGGAAGGGCAAGAAAAGGACTGAGTCGATGAAAATCTCGTGAGAGAAGCCAGAAGTAAATGTTTACCACCCCCTCCAAAAAAAAATTAGTGCCAAGCGCATTCTACATTCTCACTCACCCCCCACCTGCACACACACACACAGACTCTCTCACACACACACACTCTCTTTAACACACACACACACATTCTCTCTCTCTCACACACACACACACACAGACACAGTCCTGGCTCGCTTCAGTCAGCCGCTAAGTCCTCAAAGCTCATCCCATGACGTAAAAGAAAAAATCAAGAGAGTGGTCGAGGGCAAGTGATTTTCCGATGCAACTGAACATCCCAAATGTGCTGGTGCACTGGCTGAAAGCAGCAGCCTCGAACGGTCCCTGCAGCTTGGGGGTGAGCTAGAGGCAGACTTTCCACAGCCATCATTGAAGAGGCAGAGAGACAGGAGGAGAGAGAGAGCGGGAGGGGGAGCGAGCTGCATTCTAAAGATTCACTTACATTCTTATCACGTCGGCATTTTCCTCAGACTCTTCAACAACGGGAGTGAAGGCAGCTCGAGCATATCCTCAACTCTTTTCACTTCTTGAACTAAAATCGGCTACGGACGGTAAGTAGACTGCTGTATTAGAGACTTTAGACACGGCTCCATTGTGTGAAAATATTCAGTGGCGGGGCTGCTATTGCAGTGAGGTTTCTTGAAGGCGTTGTTCCTAATAGAATAATGTTATGATTGTATCTGGTTGGTAAGACAGTAACAGATTGTTTAAATGCCTTTATTGGAATTTGCGTCTTTCCCGGTTTACCTCTGTGTTCTCCACTCCGTGTACCATATTTGATCCTCATCTCAATAGCACCGGAGGAATTTCTATTTTTGAACTTCCCTTTCCATTGTCCCGATTTTCCGCTCCTTCTCATTAACCTTTTGAGTTTATTTACCGAGCTGTCATCGCTCTCCAGCGCAGGTTAAGGTGTTTTGTTTAAAAAAATGCAAATACAAACACAAATTGTTCAAACGTATATCGTCTGAAGTGATTTTTTTTTAAAAAATACCCATTATTTTTTATCCAGGGTCACTGTCAGCGTTTCACCTTTATGTGGGGAGATTATAATAAGCAAATCCGTGATTACTTAGGGACAATGTAATGTCATAGTTATGCGCAAAGTCGGCTTTTTCTCTGATTCTATCTAATAAAACGGGCTAGTAGAGCTGGTCACCACAGCATCTAAAGATGTGCAAGATCCTTTCTAAGCCCGACCCGATTGACGGTCGTTGCCAAAGGGTCTGCAAATGTAGGCACCAGAATAACCCATCAGATAACCAGGTTTTGATTCGGTGATATTCTGCTGTGTTTGACCTCAATCCTTCCACAGTTTAAGATGGATATGTGGGAAATGTTTATATATTGCAATTTGCAAACCTCTAAATTGATAGATTCCCGCCCCGCCCCAAAGTAAATGAGTTTTCACATCAGCAATCATACGGTTGGTGTCTGTCACTCCGGGTTTAGAGTGCACATGATTGGATTAAATTGGGAGATATCAGACTGCTTTTATTCCAAGGAGAAAAATGAGGACAATACACAGATTTGGCTGTTCCCAACACACGGTGCAGCCCAGTTTTCTGCACACTCTCTGGATTGGACATCATCAAACATTCAGACGTTTTTATTCTCTCGCAGTAATTCACCAATTCCTCATTCTCTCCCCTTTTTAAAAGCAAACAAAAACTATTAAAATAAATGAGAAATACTAATCATTCCCCAGCTACTTATTGGCAGTGCAGAAATGTCATTATCTTCGTATGCGCCTGGGATGCTGTCAAATGTCTTTCATATTTCCAAGAAATTGCAATATATTCGTGCCTTTGTTTTGTGGGTATTGAAAGAGGTGTATAACATTCTTTCTTATGTAGAATACTCTGTGTGTTTGTAGAGAAATCTAGAAGGTGTCTGTATGTATGATTGGGGTATCTATATACAATTAAAGGATGGATTCAATTTGTTAGGACGCAGTGGTTTTCTCAAGGGAATTCTAAAATCTAATGCCATTTTCTACGTGTCTTCTGTGTACAGTCATTGCATCTCCAGGAGCTCCCCTACGCCTAATAGCTGCTGTACCTCTAGCTGAACAGAGGGAAAGAAAAAGGATGTTCTGGATAACCCTTTTAAGCACAATAGCTCTAGGATGGAGTACGTCGATTCCACTGATGGAGGACTCGAAAGAGTTAGATGAACCTTGCATTGATCCATGCTACTGCGAAGAAAAGGAGAGTCTTTTGCAAATACACTGTGAAAGTAAAGGTTTTACAAATATTAGTCAGATAACCGAGTCGTGGAGAAGACCGTTTAAACTTTACCTACAAAGAAACTCTATGAGGAAACTCTATTCTAACGGGTTTCTGTTTCTAACTAACGCAGTATCAATTAACCTTGGAAACAACGCACTGCAGGACATTCAGGCAGGTGCCTTTAATGGCATGAAACTTCTGAAACGCTTATATTTACACGAAAATAAACTAGAGGTTTTTCGAAATGATACATTCTTGGGTTTGGAGAGTTTGGAGTATCTGCAGGCCGACTACAACGTGCTGAAGAGGATTGATGGCGGTGCATTTAGGAACCTCAACAAACTGAAAGTGTTGATTATCAATGACAATCTGATACCCCTTCTACCGCACAATCTCTTCAGGGCAGTTTCCTTAACCCACATCGATCTGCGTGGTAATAGGTTAAAGTCATTGGCTTACGCGGGGACACTAGAATACATTGGCCGGCGCCTCATGGAGATCCAATTGGAGGAGAACCCGTGGAACTGTACATGTGACATTGTGCCATTGAAATCTTGGCTAGAAAGCATACCGTACACGGTTCTTGTCGGGGAAATTACGTGTGAAACACCATTCCATCTCCATGGCAAGGATTTGAGGGAGATCAGGAGAAGTGAATTGTGCCCGATTCATTCAAGTGTGGAGGTAGAGGTCAGCTTGGGAATCCCACAGCTTGTTTCCAGTAACGACAATGCATGGCCTACCAAACCTTCCTCTATGTCTTTATCAGTGACATACACGGCCTCTTCTGTTGAATACAAGACATCAGGTAAATTACCAAAAGCAACCAAGACTCCAAACACTTTAAAAGCACAGCCAACTCTACGCAGCGTTTATTCGGGACAAAATCAGCCTATAGTTGCAGGCTATCAGACCAGGCCACCCATCCCTATTATCTGTCCCACGGAATGTTCCTGTAGCTTACATATCAATGATTTGGGATTGACAGTACAGTGCAAAAATAAAGCGATCCAAAATATGTCTGAATTAATACCAAGGCCGCTGAACGCTAAGAAGTTGTATTTAACTGAGAATCTAATTCAGAAAATCTATAGATCAGATTTCTGGAATTTCTCCAGTTTGGATCTTTTGCATTTGGGGAGCAACAGTGTGTCATATATTCAAGATGGTGCTTTCATGAATCTTCCAAATTTAAAAACCTTGTATTTGAACAACAACGAAATCGAACGTCTCACCCCCGGCATGTTCAGAGGGCTGCACAGTTTAGAATACCTATATTTTGAATACAATATCATAAGGGAAATCCAACCAGCGTCTTTCAGCTTGATGCCCAATCTTCAGCTATTGTTCCTCAACAATAATCTTCTCCGAACTCTACCCACGGACGCTTTCACGGGCACCTCTTTGGGTAGGCTGAACCTGAGAAATAACTACTTTCTGTATCTGCCGGTGAGTGGAGTGCTCGAGCATTTGGACTCCATTGTACAGATCGATCTGAACCAGAATCCCTGGGATTGCTCGTGCGATTTGATTGCTCTCAAGCAGTGGGTGGAAAAGATCAGTACAGTTAAACTGATTGGCAACGTGCTGTGCGAGACACCGGAGTTCTTAAGCGGGGTGGACCTGAAGATGGTCGACTACGAGGTGTTATGCCCCGAACTGAAACATGTCGCTGCCTCTCCGGCCGTGCCCGGCTCCGAGGGAAATGGTAATGTGATTTCTACAACCACAGGGTTCGGCTTCTCTTCGCAAGGTGGCGCCATTCCTCTTTCAGTCCTGATCCTGAGCCTTCTGATAATTTTCATTTCAGCTGTATTTATTGCCGCGGGTCTCTTCGCTTTCGTGCTTAGGAGGCGTAAGAAATCGCCCTTCAGGAGACGGCAGGACGTAGACCTGACTGGTATGCAAATGCAGTGCAGAATCTTCGAGGAGAGAGCTGCCAACTCACCCGAGAAAGCGGCCAGCCACGTTTACGACTACATCCCCCACCCCGTCACTCAAATGTGCAACAATCCCATCTATAAACCACGTGAGGGTGAAATGGAGGAGGAATTCGCAGAGACTCAGGAAAATAATACTAATTACAAAACTCTGGAGAAAGACAAGGAATGGAAAACGTCACTGTCTAACAGCAACCTTAATACCATAGTAACGATCAATCAGACTAACGATTTTGCAAATTTTCCAGAAAATGGGGTTATTTATCCCAGTGTGTTGGACAGAGATAGAGCAGCTCACACGGTTGGCTTTGTGGACTGCCTCTATGGCACCGTGCCCAAGTTAAAAGAGCTACATGTCCACCCTCCTGGCATGCAATATCCTGACTTACAGCAAGATGCCAGGTTTAAAGAAACGATTCTTTTTGGCTCATCTGGACGGGGATATCCTGACCAAACCCAGAGCGAATACCTCGAGTTAAGGGCCAAACTTCAAACTAAGCCAGACTACCTCGAAGTACTAGAGAAGACATCATACCGATTTTAGATATCATACCAACAGAAACGAACCCCTAAACACAGCATGTTTTAGAAGGTAAAGGGAAATTATCCGCCATCCCCTCATTAGGTTGCTTTGGACGAAAGGCCATATTCAAATCATACTCAATGAAGTGCCTTTGCAGACTTTAGCCAGCAATGATATCAATCATATTTTTTTATGGTAACGAGAACTGACTGTGCCGTCTGTAGTCATATAGAGGGCTGGTTATCGACCGTCATATAAATAACCCTATTCATTACTGGCAGCGACTTTGTTCACTTTATTTGGCAGGAAGTGATGGCTCTCTCTTGCTCTCTCCCTCTCTCACCCAAATGAACGTCGAGAGCATAATCTGTGAAACATTGACTGCAGTCTTGCTGCATGTGTAAAGCTGCCGGGGTATAACTCGCTCAAATGACAAGAAGTTAACTTGGTAATTAAAGTGACTGCAACGCTCTATCGTTCAGTGTTATTTAATTTTTTTATATTATATATAAATATATATTATATTCAAGAGAGGAGTATTAAAAAAAACTCTACGACGCATCTAAGGATTTCAATTTGTGAATATGACGCCAAGATTTTATTATAAACAATGCACTTTCTTAAAAAAAGCTCGTCAATGTTCATGCTTATACCACTAACAGCTTTGTAAGAAGCACTTTTAATGTTTTCTCTCTCTCAAACACACACAAAGATTTCGAAGTGTGCATATTTATTCTGTAATTTCTGTGAACAATCATTGTAAAGGTAATAATGTTAACTCAATGTAGTGACTGCGTCTGGTAAAGCTTTCATAATAAAAAGGTGATAAACTATGCAGTGACATGTAGAGATTGTATGTGAATAGAACGACAGCAGGCGAAGGAAACACAAGATATTAATTTGCAAAATGGAAAACCCCCGATTCCAGAATCAAATCTAATATGTCTTACAACAAGTCTCTCTCGTCCACCCACTATATTTAGAAATGTTTTGCCTTAATATAATCTACCGTCTCTAAAATGGTATTAGCAGTTTCTGAGACTTCAAGCACAGTAGACAAAGTATTGCAAAGGCGATTGGACATTAACACGATGGTAATTCTGCTCAGCTATCTTTTGGTAAATTTTAGTTTCTTTTTAATTATTTTGTTTTATTCTCTAAAAATGCATCTAGTTTTGCAGCAAGTCCAGCCTATTGGGATCAAAATAGACTGCGTCATCGTCACATACAGCACAAGGAAGCCAGTAACTAAAAGGAAGCTGGATCTTAATGTAAATAACGTTATCCTTGATAAACTGTAAGTAATGTTTCTTTCAATAAATAATTCCACTGAGCAAACTGCTTGCAGCTTCAAATTTGAGGTGGTCAAATATTATTATGTCGCAACAATTCACATAAAGGACACTGCTGCAAATCACAGCAGATTTCAAGGTGCACGTGATTTTTGTTTTAGCGTTTTAAAATCTTCATTTAAAGAAATTAAGTTCCTATGTAGCAGGGACAAACTCAGCAATCCCAGGCGGTTTGGCGCTGGTGATATGTTTGAAGGGGTACCTGCAATGGGAATCACATTGCCTCATTCAATTGTTGTTCAACTGAGAGGAGGAGGAGGAGGTGGTGCTAATTCCAGCAGAGGGCACCTTATTCCAATCACAACTATTTGACGGAACGACTGCACTTCTTAACGCTAAATTCAATCGGTTTTATACTCCCAGGAGGCTCAGTCTCATTGAGAGTAAATTGCTGACGCATTTCCATTTTATCCCAACTGAGTTAAGATACAAAAGTTAAATTGTTATCGAATTCCTCTCGGATTTGAAAATCTGTTGGTTTCCAATGATCGGTTTCTGACATTGGAAGTTATGTTTTATTAATAAAGCTACCGACTATTATTTGCTTTAAATATTCCATGGCGACTGTCGGTAATCTATTTCCGACTGCTTATTACTACGTTGGCGACGGCGACTTTTACAGTGGTGGTGAAATGATCCTGTGGGCATATTGTTTCGGATCTTCAGATTGCCCTACCTTCGCTGGAGGCATCTCGTAAATTGGCAAAGATAAATCAGTTTTCAAGGAGATAGACCAATAGATTGATGACATTAATCTTCTGGTTTTATTTGCTGAATCTACGCCCTCTTACAACGGTGTACTCCTATGGCTAGCGTACAGGGTAGGTTTTAACTTTAACGGGAGGGAAATCTCTATATTTTCCCGGAGTACAGCCCCATATATTTGACGGCAAGAGCTCTCTCTTGCTGAATTAGATGTTAACTTACTGACATTAACTCGATGTGCAGTTGGTCTAAATTGGGTATTTGTTTCTGAAATGAGAAATATCTGAACTGCTGCATTCTAACCAATTACAGCCTCCGATAGAAATGATTAATGGTCTGAAACGTCCCTAGTTGAGAAGGTTAATGTTACGTACAATGTACTGATTGAGGTTCAGCTTGAATGCAGATGCGACTGTCTGAACTCCTTGCACCGAAGTGAACGGCGCGATTCCTTTGTCCATTGCAGGTTAAAGTGGTGTAAGCTTATTAACACTGCCACTACTTCTTCTTGTTGGAACTATCTGCTGTGCATCAACGTTGTACGCAGTTGGTCACAAGGAGATAGCGATGAGCTATCAGATGACGAATGTTAATCTGCATTTTTTTCCCCCAATCGAACCTTGATTAAACTCGATGCGTAAACTTGGCAAGAAAAAGGAAATGCGCTTTAGGCGGCTCAATCGCTTGCCATTCTCATTGTTATTCCTTTAGCCATTGCAACATCATCCCTTTCTATCTTTTATCTCAGAGCTCGCCTTTTATTCTTGACCTCTGACCCTTTCCCTGCTTCTACTTATTTAAAGTCTAGTACGTTTCTAACTTATCTGGTTCTGATCAAATTGACCCGAAACGTCAACTTTCCTGTCTCCGTAGTTGCTGCCTGGCCTGCTAAATATTTTCAGCAAACTTATGTTTCTATATCAGATTTTCTGCATTCCCAGTACTTTTTTTGATTTTATTGATACTCCCAATTAAAGGGAAAAAAAGTAATTGGACAGGGATATACTAGGCCAAATTTATCCCTCCACCACCACGAGAAAGAGGGCAAATGATTGCTAGAACTGTTCTCCAGGTTTATCACCAACTGCAGTTTGATGAGAAATTGACTGGACACCCTTCAAACCTTGCCATGCCCACTTGGGGAAGACATGCAGCTTGTTGGTTGCATGATAAATTCAATTTGCTATGCTAAACAGAGGAATAATGGGTTGCTAATCTTGAACTAGCTGTCACTGTTTGTTTAAAAATCCACAGTCACCAATTTAAAAACAATAAAGATTAGGTGACTATTTTTCTTTCAGACGGTCTTTGGAGCTCTCTTTCTGAAAAAGATGGTGGAAGAAATGTCTATGAATATTTTCAGGGTAGAAGTAGATAAATTCTTATTAAGCAAAGTGGTGAAAGGTTATCAAAGGTAATTGGTAATGCAGATTTGAGGCTACAATCAGAGCAACCATGATCTTATTGAGTGGCAGAGCAGGCTCATTGTCTCCTCTTACTTCTAATTCATATGTACATTTTGTGTTATTAAATATCTTTAAATGCACTTTGGAACTATGATTTTAAGCACAGAAGTAAATCACCACAGATGCTGTATATCTGAAATGAGAACAGAAACTATTAGAAATAGTCAACAGATCTGGCAGCAACTGTGGAGAGAATAAGAGAGTTAGAGAGCTAACCTTTCAGCTCCATGACTATTTTACTATCTTTGAACCTTAAACCTGATCCTCCCTGTGGTTATGGGTGATGACCTTTAGATGCAATATTGCAAGTTTCTGTTGTTGAGCAGGTTGATTTATTTGATAAGATTTGATTTAATTGTTAAAATTTTACATCTGTTGTTGACTCCTATGCAAGTTTTATAAAAGTACTGAAATAACATGCCCATAAATTGTACTTGTACTCTATTAAATTATTACCTATTTTCAAAGAATCTAATACAACTGACAGTGGCAAAAGGATTTGTAGACATTGAATTATAATTAATCAAGATAAAGGTCAATCAATCTTCATCAACATATATATTTCGATGAGCTGTTTCTCAATTGCAGATCTTTCAGAATGTTTTTTTTCAAAGTATCTGCAATTATTTAATCATATCAATTAACAAAAGCAAAATACAGTGGATGATGAAAATATGAAATAAGAACCGAAAACCCTGGAACCGTGCAGCAGGTTGGGGAGCATCAATGGACTGAAAAACAGAGTTAACATTTCAGGCCTGTAACTGATGAAACATTAATTAAATCAGAAAATTGAATTTGATTTAATTTGATCAATTATGCACAAAATCAGAACGTACAGGCTATTTGTGTGTTAGATAATTAAATTGTTATTCTACTTAAGCATTGAAATTTACAATCAAGCCATATTACTGTATTCAACAAAGCAATCAATTGTTTGGAATTAATGATGAATAATTGAAAGTTGTTAAGTATTTGCACTTTGGCTATAAGGTTAATATGATTGGGTAAAGAATCATCTCACAATCGGTCAGATGTATTCCACTAATTGATGCTAACAGAAACCTTCATTACTTAAAATAAATGAAACAAAAACATTGCTGAGTGACATTAGAAGCTTCAGATTTACAAAATACAACATGATTGCAAAGGATCTTGAAATATTCCAACTTGTAGGTGGCCATTCACTAAATTGAGCCAACATTCTGTGAAAATTACCGCATTGTAGGTTTGGACCTCTGATTGCGATTGAAAGATCAGAATGTAGAAAATTTGCATTCTCTCCTGTTTACATGCTTGTCACTCCTCATTTTCTGAAATAATTTTAGGCACAAAGGCACAATACAAGTTTTTTGTTCACAGTTTTCAAACTAATAGATTGATTATACAGATGTGACTTTTGAGTGCGGAGTCTTGTTTCAAATTTCAGCTTTGTCCATTTTGTGTTACAATAACAAGCACATAAAATCTTCTCCAACAAAAACAAGTTTGCTGGAAAAGCTCAGCAGGTCTGGAAGTATCTGCAAAGAGAAATCAGAGTTAATGTTTTGGATTTGGTGACCCTTCCTCAGAACTGAGGAATGCTAACTGTGATATTTCTTCACAGATGTTGCCAGACCTGCTGAGCTTTTCCAGCAACTTCTGTTTTTGTTTCTGACTTACAGCATCTGCAGTTCTTTTGGTTTTTGCGTAACATTTTCTGCTGTTTGTAACTTGTGGTGAGTTTTGAAATACAGGGACCAAAAGTATATTTATATAGCTTTCACGTATAGACAACCTCTGTGTAATAGATTCCTTTATTGATCATCTACAATCATTGTGTAATTCACATAATTTATTTGGATTTTGCAGCAGTAAAGGAACACCACCTTGCCTAGTATGTTGAATGAAGATGGTGATTTATTCATATAGTATTGCATCAATTGTAACTTCCAGAAAGAAATTATATATATGCTTGTAAAAGAAATAAAAAATGCAAGGCTATGGGAAGTGAATGGAGAAGTAGATTGGATATCACTTTCCAACAGCTCATGCAGTACAATTCTTCATGGAATTTATGTGTGAGATTTCCCATGCAGCTACTCTCACAGGACATGGCACAGAGTATTGTAAGTTCTGGAAATCTGAAATATTAATAGGAAAAGATTGGAACACTCAGCAGGTTAAACAGCATTGGTAGAGAAAACAAGATGGGGTCATTTTTGATGTTTATTTTAGGACATGTTATGCATACATATCGTTTGTATATGTACCTGTCATTTTCTGGATGTATTACTGAAGTGTTGCTTCAAAATTCTAGAACTCTCTCCATAACAGTACTTTGGGAATATCCAGTCTACACAGATCACA